CACGGTGTTCTTCTTCGCTTGTGTCCAGAAAGTCGTCTTCAGAGAGGACTCCACGAATGGTGTTAAGTGTGCGGTGAGGACTCACCGACACCTTTACGTCAACAATGGTGGTCAGGTTGAGGAGTGCTTCGCTTTGTTTTTTTGTGTTTACCTCCACAAGGAGGTCTCCAGAGTACAGTCTTTTTGCCTTGTAGGAAAACCCTACAAGGTGCTCTAGAACTTTTTCTACAATGAAGGGTGACATCTTTGCTACTGTCTTGTGTTCATCAAGAGAGTGAACAACAAAAAACTTTGTGAAGGATTCTACCTCGGGATCTTTGTCAATGGTTTTGTGTTCAAGGCAACGCCTTTTAAGGGCGTGCCCTGAACGGGGTTTAGAGGGGTGGGGCGCCATAGAAGGGCAAAGAGTGTTCGGAATCCGCGGTGCACCGCCCACCACTGAGCCCAACACCAAAGCAGCACACTTGCTTGGGCTAGCTGGGGCCAGGATGGGGCCTTGGCCGTAGTAGACTGGACCGGGACCGCCCAAGGAATTCGGTGAACTGCCAGCCTGGCGTCTCACCGTATTTCCCGGGCACCGGTATGCCACGGAACTGCCAGGGAAGGGATTTCCTTGGCGTTCCTCGTCTTTTCTTGGTCCGAGCAGACCAGTGTAGACAGGCGGCCGCCAACATTGGCGCTTCGGTATGTTCATTGGCCCCAGGATTTTACGGAACTGCCAGGGAAGTGATTCCCTTGGCGTTCCTTGTATTTTGTTGGTTTTGTGTTCAAGGCAACGCCCTTTAAGGGCGTGCCCTGAACGGGGTTTAGAGGGGTGGGGCGCCATAGAAGGGCAAAGAGTGTTCGGAATCCGCGGTGCACCGCCCACCACCGAGCCCAACACCCAAGCAGCACACTTGCTTGGGCTAGCTGGGGCCAGGATGGGGCCTTGGCCGTAGTAGACTGGACCGGGACCGCCCAGGGAATTCGGTGAACTGCCAGCCTGGCGTCTCACCGTATTTCCCGGGCACCGGTATGCCACGGAACTGCCAGGGAAGGGATTTCCTTGGCGTTCCTCGTCTTTTCTTGGTCCGAGCAGACCAGTGTAGACGGAACTGCCAGGGAAGTGATTCCCTTGGCGTTCCTTGTATTTTGTTTGTCCGAGCCGACCGGGGTAGACAGGCGGCCACCAACATTGAAGTCTTAGTGGCGCTTCAGCGTGGTCATTGGCCCCGGGATTCTACGTAACTGCCAGGGAAGTGATTTCCTCGGCGTTCCTTGTATTGTCCTGGTCCGAGCCGACCAGGTTAGACAGACGGCTGCCAAGATTTAAGGATTTCGGGGCGATTCACTGTATTCACTGGCCCCAGGATTCCACGGAACTGCCGGGGAGTGGTTTCGGGCAGTGGCGTCACAAGGGGGGGGGGGGGGGGGGGGGGACCGCGCCCGGGTGCGTATTTCCAAAACCTGGCCATTCCAGATCTGCCGCGGAGTCTGATTGGCCAGATTACCGCCGCACAAAATATTGACGGCGACGCACATACGGCGCCGGTCGCCGGCAGGAGCGTCTGCTACACTCCGGCGGATACTTTGGTGCCGTGGTCCGTGGTGACTTAGCGGACGGGTTGTTTCATCTGCCAGTGCATATCCATTGAGTTATTCCGCATATCACGCGCATAAAAGTCGGTAGCAGAAGTTTCGAGCATGCCGATGTCCACAGTTCGACTGCTCCAACCTCGGCGATTCTCTACCCAAGCTCGAATGAAGTAGGCCTCGCTGCTCTGTTCCGTAATTGAAACCGTGTACACGTGGGAGTGCTTGCAGTGCTAATGCGCAGTGCTTTTCAACCGTAATCCAAGAAGCGAGAACGATAGCCCTGCACAGCGTGTGTGGCTCGTGTCAACGTTTTCCGTGTGGCTCTTATCAAAGTAAGCCTTGTCGCCTTCCTACACTCCCGCGTAGCGCCCGCAATGCTGTCAATCGTACTGCTCAATTAATTCGCCGTTTTTCTTGCTCTGAAACGCTACGCAGATTTTATATCCACTTCAATGCTTCACAGCTGAATGAACACTTGTTTGTCGCTGAACAAGATTGCCATGAACGGGTTTACTTCTGCGGTTTTACGCCCCGCAAGTGTTTACTTTTTCTGCCGTATTTTCACGTTTTATTGCACAGACTGCTTTGATTTGTACCAGTTTTAGGCTATTTGGCGTATACCAAGTTTTGTGAAATTAAGAGGACGCGAATTGGTTTCAAGCTGTTTGTTTCTTACGCCTATAATGATTTCACGTCGTGTTATTTTGATCAGCACTGGAGGTGAGCTAGGACTGCTCCAATACGTCTTTTTAACCCCAAGGAGCAGAGAATAAAAACCCATGCAGAACTCGGTTTCGAAAAATAGGGGCCTTTTCCTGGTGCCTTTTTGTACACTGTTCTTTTCTCTGCACTTGATACATAGGTATGTCACCTGCCCTTTCAGCCTGTGGAGGTCCATGGGAATTAGAACGGAAGCATTAAAGCCATCTTCAGAATTACTTGTGCATTAAATCCTGTTACCCACGGGACATTCTTGTGTGAATCCAAAGTCCATCCTATTCAGAGCTTCTCCATGCTAGTGATAGACTTCAGCTACAATCTAGTTTTGTCATCTTTATTTCGGTCCCATCAATTTCCAGCTGCTGATGTCATCACTGTGCAATGCTGAAGTTCTAAAAATCCCATAAATTACAGGCAGATCCAGACAATCCAGGACACTGAGCACAACGAATGCAATACTGCTGGTTCTCACGACCAGCGACTTATACGCACACACCCCTAACATGCCCCAGACCGAGTACCTAATAGCCGCGTCCCACTAGAGCGACAAACGACAGCAACAGACGACAATGAGCGACATACAACGCTGACAAACAGCCTGTTTGTCGGAGTCCGCTGTCCCACCTGGCAGCCACGGCGCAGAACACGGGGACAAGGAAACTTCTTTCCTAGTGGGACCAAAGTTGTCAACAGCACTTCAAAATACAGACAGAGTATGGCGACGCAGTTTTCTTGTTTTGCTTTTTGGGCGTCAATTGCGCCGACAAACACGGTGAAAGTAGAGACGATTACTTTATTCCTTGTTTAAAGGGATACTACAACGGAATTTCGGTGCTCATTTTTTGGTCTATATGTGTTCAAAAAAGCACCATGAAATCGAACATACCAATATCTTGTTAAAAAAAGTCACGAAAAAAAATTTTAAGACGAATTAAACGATTAGCAAAGAGCACCTGGTGGATGTCGCTAACGCCTCGCTTGTAATGCCCGTCTAGCAACCTTGGCAGCTAGTGACGGAGGTTGTCTCGCCTCCGGCCACGACGAGAGAAGAGGGGCAGGGGGAACTCCCCTCCTCCCGAGAATGCCTTTTGTGTGTCACAGAAGTCGCTATTGTCCCCCTACAAGATTATAGAAGATTAACCCGTCACTCAAAATTTGTACAAAAGCAGCCGCTTCGGTGGCTGGAACAACTAGGCCATCATCTCGACAGCAGCCTCGCCGTAGGTTTGCTCATCTTGAGACGACCTATGTCACGATTGCGTTGGATGTCACGTGGTCTCCGCTGGGCCTTCTCCGAGCGCTTGCCAGAGTGGGCCGTTTATAGCGAAAAATACAGCCACCAGGCTCAAAATACAAACGTGCGATTGTCATTCACGGATATTGTGGATCATATTCAACCTATTTTTGAATACGATGGGAATATTTCAAATTTCGTTGAAGTATCCCTTTAAAGCTTCCGCTTGCCTTCATTTGCCATTGGCGACTTTCCGAAAACAGTCGTGACAATCGACACCCAACTTTTTCCGTACTAGAATTCCTGAATCGTTCCTTTTTTTGGGTCGTTCGAAGCATTCCAGGTGACCGCCACGGAATTTCACGTCGATTTGAGGATGTTTTTAACTTCATATCCGAATGACCAAGGGGAGGCGTTTTATGGGGGGCAATCACAGAACGGATGACAAGTCTCTCGTCTTGCCGGAATGGCTTGCCGCAGAAGTGATGGAACGTCGTGTCCTACTTCGTGGTGAGCGGTCTTACTTTGGTCAGTCCTCGCACATGGGTGTATCCATCCTGATGCAGGGGCGTAGACTTCGGCATCTTGAAGCACCAACTCGCGCACCAGGTTTTCGCGAGCAAAACCAGCCACAGCAAATTCCCTTTTGCAACACAACATCTAGCAAGCAAGCCGTGCCCGCGACCACTACAAGCAATCCAGGAATCGAAACTGCGGGAGCAGGAACGATCAGTGGCCGTCAAGGACTGAGTCACGGGAGGAATGGAGGGTGGGGAAGACAGCAACTGAAGGCACAAGCGGGTAAGAAAATTAAGTTTGTCTCCGAGAGATGTTCCTCGGTAGGGCTGCTTGCTGCGCTTCAAGTTGAACAACAGACAACAACTCGTCCGTCGTTGATGGTTTGTCGGCGCTTGTAGCAGATGTTGGTCGTTGCAGTGGAACAGCATCAGTGACACAAAACTTAGTGCTGTCGCCGGACGAAAATCGGCGTTTGCCGCCCTAGTAGGACAACGCTATAAGAATTTTCTACTCAAAGTACACAAATCTATGCTATACATCCCTCGCGAGGCCTTTCCCAGAATTAGCAACACCTTCCCAGATAGACAATCATGGATGAACCCCTGGCCTCAATCCTGGCAATGTTACAGCACTGGAACGCGGGAACCGCAGATGCCTGTTCTGCTGCGGCTCACTAGCATGTCAGTCGAGGGAGACTCAAAGAACTCCAATTTGGGACGTTGGCACAAAAGCAACTTTTTCCCCCCTCTCCTTGAACTTCTAGAACGAGCCACACCGGGATCGAGACAATCAGCACAAGTACTACATGGTGGCTCCTATGACGCATCTTGTAACGCCTTCATCTTAACTGCCATTCTCCAGCAGTTCTTTTAGGCACAGTTTTCAGAAGGCAGTCAAAAGAGCATGCACAAGCTACGTCAGAGGTCCATGTGCAGTTCAAGGTCTTGCATCCAAGAAATATTTCTTGACAGTCGCCACATATGTTGACGAACACCAGTGTTGCAGGCAATCATCTGCCAAGAAGCCACACTTGATCATGCAGAGGCTTGCTTCCCAGAGGTTGATTGCGCAGAACCGCATGGTGCAGCTTGATCGTGCCCATCAACCAGGCCTTTGGCACATACCCTCTACTGTGTAGCATTGCAGATGCTTGAAGTAGACTGTAGACTGCCTGCCTGATGGGGAAAGAAAGACCAAGCAGTCAATCCAAGCCACTCTTGAACCAATGTGCAGAAAAGGAAATTTAAACATGGAGATATAAAACATGCTGTGTGCACGACAGATTGTAGGTCGGTATCCTTGTTTTGGGCGCGTCCCAATCAATCCATTGAATGGGAGTAGGGAACTCGCCCTATTAAAGGGCCCCCGAGAAGAAAAAAAAAAGTTTTTTTTTTAACAATCTAGTTAAAACACACTAATCAAAAAAAAATTTATGCGAAAAAAAATATTTTTTAGAGCAATATTGACGGCGCGAGACGCGATTTAGTCGGCAGTCGCGTCCTTACCACTTGTTTTCTCTCTTGGCATTTCAGGAGCGTGGAGGAGAGGTTGATCGCCTTCGCCTTTACGACCGAGATGGTCATTTTGGAATGACCCGTGATGTCACGGACTTCGCGAACAATTTCAATTAGATCTCTCGCAATCAATATTGCCCCATAAAATTTCTTTTTTTAACACATCTGTCCCAACCAGACCGCTTAAAAAAAATTTCTTTTTCTTTTCAGGGGTTCTTTAAGTTAGCCACAAAGTTACTTCCCAACCAGCAAGTTGTCCCTTGAAGTCCTGCTGCATGCTACCTAAGGAACAAAGTTGAAGATGGGAAATTTGGATCGGAATGTGCAACAATGCCTTCCAAGGGGAAAAGCATTGACGTGCATGCTCCGCCAAAGATACATTTCACCAAAATGTAATGAATTTATACCTACACTGCACCATACGGGAGTTTTCGTTTATAACTACCGAAACTAATAGTTCAGGCGTCGAAGTACTGCCAGATTGTTCCTGCAACATTGTGTGAATCGTTCAGAACTTCCGGTTATTGCTTAGAATAATGTGAGATTTGATTTGATTTACACAGCGAACATGACTTAGTTCTCGGATGTTTCGCGATATTTCTCATTGTACGTGGTATGTTCGGGCAGTCTAATTATCTCCGTTGAGTGCGCTTCTCACACCATGCACTGGTGCACTGCCGAGAAGCTACACCCGTGGAGTAGGCATTGCAATTCTGCTTGTGTCGCTTTGCCGCAGCGCAGCCATGTCTTAAAGGGGCACTAAAGTGCTTTTTGAGATCCTCGTTTTATTGTTATAACTCAATCAACGAGCACTAACCATCCTTAAAAAACAAAAATTACATTCATCTGCGGCCGATTTCCATACTAAAAAAATCAATCAAAATTCTCTACACTTAGCGTCAGCGCAGAATGGCAGATAGCGCTACCGAACCTTCGTGAATATGGTCGAACAACGGACGGCACGTGTCGGCTACTCGCGAGCGATGGAGTCCCCCGTGGACAAGCTGCCGACCAGTCGAGCTCGTCCACGAAGGAACCCATCGCTCGCGAGTGGCTGACACGCACCGTCCGTCGTTCGACCATATTCAGCAAGGTTCGGTAGCACCATCTGTTATTCTCTGACGATGGTAAGTGTCTGGAACTTTGATCACTTTCTTAAGATACGAATTTGCTGCAAATGAATGTAATTTCTGGTTTTTTAGGATGATTAGTGCTCGTAGATTGAGGTATGACCATAGAACGAGACTTTCAAAATACACTTTAGTGCCCCATTAAAAGGATACCGAACCGAAATTCGGATTTCGCAAAATAAGGATGCATGAGCGTTGAACAAAACGCTAGGAACTCCAAGACATGACTTGTACATCAGTATCTCAAACAGATGGCCGCACTTTTGAAAAAAAAAGTGCGGCCATCTGTGACGGTCTTTGACGTCGTTGTCCTCCGGCAGAATTGCAGAATGAGGGGAAGCAGCCTCGCTTCTCTCTTTCTCGCTTCAGTTCACTAGCTCGAAGGGACGTAGCAAGAAGGAGAGGGAATGGGAATCGTGACGTGACTTGTCTCATCGGCCGTGTTCACTCGCACACTTCTTTTCCAAAAATACAGCGATCGGTTAGAGATATCGCTGTATGAGTGTTGTTTTGGGGTTTTGCAGCGTCCCGCCTATCCGTCTACCCTTGTGTCCGAGCTCGAAGTTTCTGTTCACTATCCCTTTAAGGGTAAAAGCACTATTCCAGGGTGAAAGGTGGACAACAAAGCATGAATTAGAAAAATATATATATATGTGAAAGAAAAGGAAACTTGGTGAATGCTGATGTGATATTTACCTTGCAGTAAACTTTGCTAAATAAAAATATGGTTAGTCTGTATGATAAATTTGACACCTTGAAAATATTACACACAATTCCTTTATGTGGTTAGCATACTTATTTAATGAGGCTTGCTTATCCAAGGGGCTGATCAGTGAGTAAATAATAGAATCGTCCCCAGAGCCCGACCTGTATTTCTGGGGGCGTGCTGTGTAGTACGTCATTTATATATGTCAAGACTGACCCTAAAGCAGAACTGTGAGCTACAGCTGAATATGCTGGCAGAGGGTTTGCAACATTACCGCTGCTTTCCACACTTTGGCTTCAATTTGTTAGGTGGGAATCAATCCAGTTAGTTACTGCTGGTTCCATCCCAAATATTTTGATTCTGGCCTCAGGTCTCCAATGTGGCACTCAATAAGAGGCCAGATATGAGCCTACATATCATATAAACCTGCTCTCTGTCATTTAGTGCTAATGCAATGAGCTGTTTCCTAAGCTCTGCTCACCGCCAAGGTGACAGTGCCTGTGAGAGCTACATATTCACTGGGCTTATCGACGGCCTTCCTCTCGTCACCGGACCCTGCTCCTGGCGCGTGGATGTAGGCGGGGGTGTGTGATCAGATGGCAAATGATGGGCGTACAACTGGTCCAGCAAGCACGTAGCTTCCAATGCACCCTCAGCTTAGGGGTGAGCGGAGTATACCAGTTTTACGACTGTACATAGGCCAGGTCAGGAAATGAGATACATTTAATTCCCTCATGAGCTACAAAACAACGGAACTAAATAGCCATAAAACCTTTATCCATGACGACCCATAGGTTGCACCCGAAACGAAGGTGTGGGATGGCGATAGGTGATAACATTAAATGACAAAGCAGTACAACATCATGCTAGTGTTTAATATCTGTTAAAGTGGGTGGCAGTTCTGCAATAACCCACACATTAAATTGAGAAAACTGATTCGCAACTAGCAACATGGTTTTGTAGAAATCAAATATTGTTTGGAATTTTTGTGTGACGCTTGATGTCCCCAGTATTTAGGTTCATCAAAATTGAGTGCTGAAAAAACATTGATTCAAGGCTTTTACAGTACGTCTTTCCTTATTCCATTTCATTGAATGGCAGTGACAGCACCATAGGAATTGAACAAAGAGTGAAATCTGCCACCTTGTTGACAAACCTACCTGCTGAAGGTGGCCGCGAGATTCCCTTGTCACCACTTGGTCACTTGAATACAACGTTAACTATTGTATCTAGATGTACTGTGGCAGCAATGTTGTAGCTGTGATGCTCATCGGGCCAGGTCTCTTTTCAGATGTGCATATTCCCGTCGAAAAGTAGCCCATCGCCATGGCAGCTGGTATGACAAGAGTATAACTACATTAGCCAAAAAATTTAACAGTCAGACAAGCAAGTCTACATGCCACAAAATTCTACACATGGAGACTAAAAAAAAAGAAAGCAATGCAACAGTGTCTTTACAGGCCTGTGCATCTCAACTCTCTTCCCTAGCCCTGCGTTGACCAAGACGTGATGTGTGCATAGTTGCAAGTTCAGACAAAATGGGAAAATCTACCTACGTCGATCTCTATAGTTTGCATTGCAAAAGCAAACCATGTTTTTTTTATGTCGGCAGTGACAAGGTATAACACACGCATTACAACCATAATCTGATTTTCTTTTTCTTTTTTTAGAAAATAACAATTCTGTAAAGCAAACCCACGTTACAGCCTGTACCTAAGTGAGGTGACTTAAATTCTGGTTGCTCTCCTGAATGTCTATAATAAAGCACTATACACCTAGCTGTGCTAGAGCATTTCTTTTTCAGAGGCTACCAAGCAGCACAAAGCGAGTAAGGCACAGAACTTCCTTCAGTTGTCTAAGAACGGTGAATGAACCTCTCGCAGGGGTGAATGTGCACGAAAAAAAAGATTTAGAAATGTTTAACAATGAGTGCGGGCCGGATGTAGGTAATACGACAGATGTATAATTTATGACGCCATCTGAGCGTATGTACAGTCAGCACGGAATGAAACCCGAACGCCACAACGTATGGCAATCGACACAGGCTGCTCGACCTGGAGGGCCCCTGAGAACTAATGAAAATGCCCTGGGGTGCCAGGGTGCGTGTCCTACTAAGCTGTGCTCGACCCTCGACCACCGGCGAAACACGGAAGTCCCAGATACGTCGCGCGAGGGTCGAGCACATCTTAGTAGGACCTGCACCCTCGCTCCAAGGCACATTTTCATTAGTTCTCAGGGGCCCTCTAGTGGAGCAGCCTGTGACGATGGTTTCATTCTGTGCCGACTGTACAATGTCTAGACATGCGAATTTGCTGTCCCGGCAAACGTGTTCCCCACTGCTTTATTCTGAGCGACGATTGCTACTCAATAACGTCACTGCAGCGTGGTGGTTTCAGACAGTGCTGTGTCATTAGCTATTTTCAGACGTTGGATACTTAGCAGCAGACGGAAAAACTACTGTCGCAACTTCTACATCCATTTAGCCCAACTAGCTGACTAGATAAAATCATAACTAGGGATGTCGCAAACCTGCCGAGATTGCAGGAGTTAAGGTTTGAATTTGAAAAGTTTGCAAATTTCAAACCCTGCTGTGTTTCGAATTTGAAAAGTTTGATAATGTAAAGTTTCTGAAAGTTCAAGTTTGAAGATTTCAACTCTCTTTACAGATTGAGTATGAAAAGTTTGAAAATTTCGAATTTCTTTGCTATTTATGTTCGAAGAGTTCAAATTTAGGTTTGTGAATCTCAAGGTACAAGATCAAATATCACAATTTAAAATAAAGTTTTTAAGGGCTCATCTGGAAAAAACCTGAAAGTGCTACAAAGTTGACTAAAAACGCTGCACGTTTTATTTTGTGCCATAAACGCTACTTTCTTCTCTGTACCGGGTTCTTAGGATACTTCTCGTTATTTACTATGATTTATGAAACAAGCCTTGAGTTGGTTGGACGGTTTAGCGACAAGACTTGAGGCGGTCTGGTATGCATCAGGAATTGCTACCTCTTTGCAAACTGGAAGCAATGCGATTGAATACCCCTAAATGAGATGCTGGCCTGAGACAACGAAATACGCAAGATGATGCGTGCAGACAAAGTCGCCAAGGCAAGACATCTTGCTTCACGAAAGTTTGTAGTTGCTGTGGACGTTAATTTCCAGTGGGATGGCCCGTGGGGCAGAGAAAACACTGCACGCAGGGACAGCACCCGACAGAGCTCAAGGTCAAGAAGCATGCAACCAGCCAAGCTCGCAGGTCCCCTGGCCCCCCAAGATACACCTGATCAGGTAATGACCGGTCGTGCATCAGGCTCACTACACTGCCGGTTTCTTTGGCACCTCAGTGGCTCCAAGGCAAGGCACCGGCCTACAGACACCAGGTGGCGGATTCTAATCCCGGCCCAAGTGCCCGCAATTTGACAAAGGCTTATTGCCAAGAAGGTCGTGCAATCAAGCTTTCTGTTGCACGTCAAATGATCCCCAGGTGTTCCAAATTAATCCTCAGTCGTCTGCTGAGGTGTTCTGAATGCCCGTCGTCTGCTTGGCTTGCAAAACCCTCAGATTTGATTCTGCATAGCTGGTTCTTCGTGCTTTCCTTCTTAGAAAAATAAGAAAACAAGTGGAGATATTAGTCGCTTTTAAAATGCAACTGGATAATGACGATAATGGATCGAGTGCCTATCCAGTGTTGCCTCTTACGAATCGGTGTCACTTTCAGTGCACGCCTTTCCCCAACCAGCCACAACACGAGGAGATTGGGCAACTTGCATTCAAAAACAGCCAGGGTTATGAACAACCATGGATGAAGAAAGAATAAAACAATTAAAACAGGGACAACACAGCCACGTCTTTCAACTAGCAACAGACGAGTAAACTTTCCACAGCGAGCAGCCAACTATATCCAGGAGGGAAAGGGGGGAGAAGGGGAGATAAAAAACGCAAAGTGCAAATCAGAGAGGTGGGTTTATCTCGAATTTTAGAAATTCAACCTCAGTTTTCGTCAGCAGGAGGGAAGGGTTTGACACGTTTTTACAGCAGCAGGGAGATCATAGAGTCATTCGCCATGAACACAGCAAAAAAACAATGTGCCTTCATCGGATTTCAAACCTGCAGACAAGGGACCTAAAGTTTACTTTGGGGCAACCTACGCAGTCTTACACGGTACGACCTACAGGTACGAGGCCAGCCGCCACTACAAGCGAGTCGTTGGTAGCACCACCACATCTTTGCGTTTATAATATTTAAGACCTTATACGATTAAAGTTTCATCACACTTCGTCAAATTTCTGTTCAGAAGTTCGAAATTCGTCAAAATTCTGTATGTTTCACTTTGAACAATTTTTCCCCTTGAAGTGGAAACCTCAAAGATTATTTTTCGGTTTCATTCCAGAATGAAAAAAAATTATTATGTTTCGGTGTGATTCTGGTTTGCACACGAATAAGTTTTTTTCTGATGTTTGGTTTTCTTTTCCGTTCAATGCCCTGGTGCCCAACAGCTCATTACTCCTCAAAACCTTAATCCTTTTTTTTTTCCTTTATGAAGAGTTTAGTGTTATCTTTCCATGCCACTGCAGAAAACAGAGAGAGGGAAGCCCTGAGCGACAGTCTCGAGATTACGAGTCACAAATATTCTTTTTAATGTTGGGACCTTCTTTGTCGTGTTTCTGTAAACTCCGGAAAAACATAAATACCTTGGTGCTTTAAGATTCGAAATACAATAATATAAACAATGGCTCAAAAGAAACGATCATCTTCAATGTTATCGTATTTGTATTGTAGATAATAAACTTTTTGTCACTGGCCCGTCAGGCGTTCTAATTTCAGGGAATTGGGTGCAAAATGTAAGAAAATAAGAGGTGCATCGCGCAAAAGGTCTCCATATCAACACAAATCTTTAGTAGAGTTGACAAATACAACGTCGTTCGTGTGGCACCGTCGAACAATTCTATTCGATCCTAACGTTTGGTTCCCTTGTGTAGCTTCCAATATTCCCTTTTTTCAAGGCCGCTTAAGATGATGAAAATGCCCCGTGATCCATGCTTTAAGGAATATCTTCTGATATATGCACAAGAAATCTTCGTGAATCGTGAATACATACCGTTGTGTTGCAGCGGGCGACCTGCTCAGATTCAAATCACTTCACTCCCAAATGTATTTCCAGCTCTAATTAGATAGAAGGGCACGCTACAGTTTTATTTATAGCATGTCGACTTTTCAGAAATCACAGTGTCGAATTATAGTGGTGTAAGAGCTTACAGCTAAATCCAGTAACGTTGAATGCTGCTAACTTGACCACCGCAGCGTCAACTGGTCGCAGCCATTTTGCTTGTTGTCGATTTCTTTTCTGTTCGTTCGTAGTTGTTAGTTCCGTTAACGTTAAGTTAACGTATTAAAACATTAAACAAATTATAATAAATAATAAATTACAATTGTAGTTAAATGTTTTGTTTTGGTTTACATATAACGAACGTAATAAATAACCAAAGTTGATGTGCGAAACTTTCTGCAACATCATACACTTCAAACATTAGAATAACTGTCATGGCTGCGCCCATCGTCTGTCGGCTACACCACGATGGAAGAAGCATTTCGTTTCTTCCACTGTGGGCTACACCAAGGAGGGCTACATGAACCTACGTCGCCTGCGGACTGCGTCCCTTGGCAAGTTTGCTCCTATTGCTTATTTAGACGCTATGCTCCGATATATGTGAAACATTTTGATGTAACCTTTGGGTACGAGCATCAAGTTTGATTTTAGCCATATAATGAGTACAGAAACAATCGTGGTGCGCATTTTGCCATGCCGATCAAAAACAAATACCCAAATAGCAGGCTGCCAGCCTTGATATGATTAAACTTCAGAATTTGTTGCGGAGTTTCTAACGGGTAGAAAGAGATCGGTATAGCCCCGTTTGATTTCATGTTGCTGAAGGCAGATTTCGAGGCAGTGACACATTTTAATTCTAATTTCTTTGCACAAGAGATTGGTGCGTACACGACAACGCGCAAGGCTAGGCAGAAAGGTTGCAACCCTGACGCATCTGTGACTGCTAGCCGGCCACCGTGTACGCTCGAGCCAGTACATCGATCGTATTCAATTTTCCAGGATAGAAGAATATACATAATTAATTAGGTGACATGTACGATGACACTAGTATCTCAGACCAAATTACTTGAAGACATGCTTATCCAGGTGTCAGTTTTGTTATCAGTGCCTAACCCACGTTTGCAGGTCTCATATCTGTGTTTGTAGACTTTGTATACATGCCTTGCTGGGACTGGACATTTCATTGAACGCCGTTTCGTCGAACGCCGTTTCGTCGAACGCCGTTTCATCAAAGCCGTTCCATCGAATGCCGTTTCATTGAACGCCGTTTCATTGAACGCCGTTTCATTGAACGCCGTTTCATTGAAGCCGTTTCATCGACCGCTGTTTTATCGAACGCCGTCTTATCGAACGCCATGGTGGCAGTCTCGCTTCCTGAAGCTGGTCGGAAGTGCCCATCCCAGGTTCTGGAAGTTTTTGACTTGCATCGCCACAGAACATCAACTGACGGAAGACAAGCTGGAGGCAATGCTGAGTTCCCAAAAGCCTCCTCGCCAGAAGATGGCCATAGCGGCAAGGGATGAGAAGGTCCGCCTCTTTTATGAGAACCGACGGACCATGGCTGTGGGGAACTTTTTGAGAGCAATTGCTCATCATTTGAAACGGTGAATGGCTGTCGCACGAACACATGAAATGGTCTGGACATTAAAAAACCTGACGATGAAATGGGTGAATGACACGAAAATGCACTCGATCCGTGCATAAAAGAACATATTTCACACATTTTATTTAAAAGACATTCAATGAAACTCTCGTCAGCGATTCGGTGAAACGGCGTTCGATGAAACATCCATTTTTTCGATGAAACAGCGTTTGACGAAACGGTGTTCGATGAAACGGCGTTCGATGAAATGTCCGGGAACCATGCCTTGCACGGGGCGTCATATGGCACCGTACCAGCTGCCATTGCTGCACCGTACCTTGTGCAGCATACATTTCGCACCATTCAATTTGTTTCTCTCGGCAAGCCTTGCCCAGAAGACAAATTTGATGGTGTCAAATGTATGCTGCAGAAGGTACAGAAACAGGCGCATGGTATGGACCAATGGCGGCTCATGTGAGGTCAATGCAAGCCATGTATACCTGGGCGCATCTGTGAACTCAGAGAGAGGAGGGAAGGGAAACGCACCATTTTTGGGGGCTCTCTCGTCCACTCAGTCACTCAGACAGGATTGCTTTGGCTTGACTACCTCCGTTATTCTCACGGCTTGGCTTCATAATTGTTATGCCTCATCACTGTGCAGCTGTAGGTTGAGCAAATAGTAGCAAAAATGGTTCAAAAGAAAATTTTGATAAGGTTTCAGCAGCCTTTTGTGGGTGGTGCTCGAAAGCACCCAATGTGAAGCACCCTGCCCCTTTTGCCCTGCTTTCAAAAGCTCGTGTTTCAGAAGCCTATGACGCGAATCCCCCGTGTCAGCTGGCCGGGTTCTCAATGTGATAGCGGGACATTCTGCTTTTACCCAGAAGACAGCTGGCCGGGGTCACACTGCTCATACATCATACAAAAGACAGTCTGCACACGCAAGTCACCACAGTATCTGTGGTTCGAATGTTGCATGCTAAGTTTCTCCTTGAACCCATTGCCAGGCTGCATTCGAAGCATGGATCGCACGGTGACTTGCCCTCAAATCTGTATGCAGGCTGTCTTTTGTATGATGTATAAGCAGTATGACCCCAGCTTAACGTAATCAAGCTATACCCGGTACTTAAGTAAAGAATGACGGATTAAGCTTTTCGTTCTTAAGGTGTGCGCTATACTCATTCACATCTTGCCACTTAAAAACTATGAAAAAAAAGAAAACAGAAAATATCACTTACTGACAGAACCCCGTAACGGAATGCCTTGAAAACCAATCGTGAACTTTCCTGTTCGCAGGGCCAACTTCGTTGGAGGTTCGTAGCTGTGCTGAATTCAGAGAAAGATTGTTTTTAGCATATTGTTCCTTACTTTTTGACGGTGCAGGCGAGCTTTCGTGATATCAAGACCGCCCGGATTTCACCCGTCCAAGTTTGCTTACATGGCCCCGGTTATGACGGTGCCTCATGCGCTCGCAAGGTATACAGTACAATGAAGTTACGGTACGCAATAACCTTGAATAACTTATGTGCTCAAGGAGAGTGAAATCAGCTGTTTGTAATGGCCCCCCCCCCCCCCCCCCCCCGGCCATTCCAACCGGAGCTCACAAGCTCTGCACGAGGTGGGTAGTTGGGTTGGGACTGGAACTGGTCACCGTTACTTTCCTTACATAACACTGTGCCTTGAAAGCCGAACCCTTTTTCAGTTGCTTGCACGACGCGACACTGAAGTGACGATTAAGTGACCGAGTCGACGGTACAAACTGATGCTGCGTTGGGGGCCTCTACATTTTTCAAGGTATAAAGACGAAAGAGGTCATTTGCATCGTAGACAGTGGATTTCATTAATCCTCCAGGGCATCGAACTGAAAAGAAAACCAAACATAAGAAAAAACTCCAATTTGTGTACAAACCGGAGACAAACCGAAACATTAGAATTTTTTTTATTCTGGAAAAAAACTTGAACTGGAAACCGAAAAATAATCTTTTAGGTTTCCAGTTGAAGGGGGAAAATTGGGTATGTGAAACATACAGAAGTTTCACGAGGTGTGAAGAAACATTTCCCAAATCGTATAAGGTCCTAAATATTATTAACACAAAGATGTAGTGCCACCAACGACTCGCATTGGGGTGGCGGGTGGCGTCGTACCTGAAAGTTTTTACTCCTGCTTTCGCACAGAGCCTCTACCGTGTAAAACTGTGTAGGTTGCCCCAAAGTAACCTGCAGGTTTCTTGTCTGCAGGTTGGTAATCCGACAAAGGCACTTTTCTGGGGCATTGTTCATAACCCTGGCTGTTTTCGAATGCAAGTTGCCCGATCTCCTCGTGTTAGTGGATGGTTGGGGAAAGGCGTGCACTGAAAGCGACACCGACTTGTGAGAGGCAACACTGGATCGGCACTTGATCCATTATCGTCAGTATCCGCTTGCATATTAAAGCAACTAATATCTCCTCTTGTTTCCTTATTTTTCTAAGAAGGAAAGCGCGAAGAACCAGCTATGCAAAATCAAATCTGGGTGTTTTACAAGCCAAACCGACGAGAAGCATTTGGAACACCTCAGCAGATGACTGAGGATTAATTTGGACCACCTGGGGATCAGACGTGCAGCAGAAAGCTTGATTACAAGACCTTCTCCGCAATAAGCCTTTGTCAAATTACGGGCCCCTGGGCCGGGATTATAATCCGCCACCTGGTGTCTGTAGGCCGGCGCCTTGCCTTGGAGCCACCGAGGTGCCAAAGAAACCGGCAGTGTAGTGAGCCTGATGCACGACCTGTCATTACCTGATCAGGTGTATCTTGGGGGGCCAGGGGACCTGCGAGCTTGGCTGGTTGCATGCTTCTTGACCTTGAGCTCTGTCGGGTGCTGTCCCTGCGTGCAGTGTTTTCTCTGCCCCACGGGCCATTCCACTGGAAATAAACGCCCAGAGCAACTACAAACTTTCGTGAAGCAAGATGTCTTGCCTTGGCGACTTTGTCTGTACGCATTATCTTGCGTATTTCGTTGTTTCATGCCAGCATCTCATTTAGGGGTATTCAATCGCATTGCTTCCAGTTTGCAAAGAGGTAGCAATTCCTGATGCATACCAGACCGCCTCAAGTCTTGTCGCTAAACCGTCCAACCAACTCAAGGCTTGTTTCATAAATCATAGTAAATAACGAGAAGTATCCTAAGAACCCGGTACCGAGAAGAAAGTAGTGTTTATGGCACAAAATAAAATGTGCAGCGTTTTTAGTCAACCTTGTAGCACTTTCAGGTTTTTTCCAGATGAGCCCTTAAAAACTTTATTTTAAATTGTGGTATTTGATCTTGTACCTTGAGATTCAAAAATCTAAATTTGAATTCTTCTAACATAAATAGCAAAGAAATTTGAAATTTTCAAACTTTTCATACTCAATCTGTAAAGAGAGTTGAAATCTTCAAACTTGAACTTTCAGAAACTTTACATTGTCAAACTTTTCAAATTCGAAACACAGCAGGGTTCGAAATTTGC